TGAGCATGTCGTCGACATATACCATGAGATACAGCTTGTCACCTTTGCTTACTTCCTTGTAGTATACACACGGATCAAAACAGCTTCTAAGCAGCCCCTGTCTTCGTACAAACTCGTCAAAACGAATATTCCAGCGTCGAGGCGACTGCTTTAAACCATATAGCGATCTTTTCAGCAAGCAAACCTTCTCCTCGTGACCTTTTTCTTGGAAACCTTCTGGTTGTTCCATGTGAATCTCTTCTTCGAGCGTTCCATGCAGAAATGTTGTCTTAACGTCCATTTGATCCAATTCCATATCTTGTTGAACCACAATTGATAGCAGAATTCGGATTGAAACATGTTTGACAACAGGTGAGAAGATTTCTGTGTAATCCACTCCCTCTGTTTGTGAGAAACCCTTTGCAACTAACCTTGCTTTATACCTTGGTTCCTCGACACCAGCTGGGATTCCAGCTTTGAGTTTAAAAACCCACTTGCAGCCTATTACTTTCTTCTCCTTTGGTCGCTTGGTAAGAATCCAGGTTCCATTTTTCTTCAGTGACTCCATCTCTTCTGACATTGCTGAATTCTATGATGACCAGTTTTTACACTTCTTGGCTTCGAGATAGTTCTGAGGTTCTTCTGATTCAACCTCCTGAGATATTGAATATGCAAAAGCTGTACTTTCATCTTCCCTGAATCTTGGTGGAGCTTTTATGATTCTTCGTTCTCTATCTCTTGCCAGGACATACTCTATTAACTTTCTTTGCATTTCTTCTGGTGGGCTCCCATCATTTCCTTCCTGCATCTTTGTTTCTGATCCTTCCTTATCTGAGTCTTTTGAGCTGGAAGACTGGTCTTTATTTTCTTTTTCCATATGATCGTGAGCTCCACCTTGCTGTGAACATTCTGGTTTCTTTCTTTCTGGATCTACTAGCAACGGCAGATGTGTCAATTCTGTCTCCTTGCTATGATTCTTGTTTTCAAGATTCTCTACTTCCTGCTTCTGAATATCTCTGTACACTGTTTCTTCGTCGAACCTTACATGTCTGCTGATGATTACTTTGTCATCTTCTGGATACCACACCTTATAACCTTTTGTACCAGCTGGGTATCCAACCAGAAAACCTTTTCTGGCTCTCGGCATTAGCTTTCCCTGATCTCCATGTACATACGTCACACAACCGAATCTCCTCAGGTGATTATACCCAGTTTCCTTTCCGGACCAGATCTCATTTGGAATCTTGAGATCTATCGCGGTAGATGGAGATCTGTTTATGATATGCACGCTTGCATATGCTGCCTCTGCCCAAAACATTTGTGGTAGGCCTGAGTCTGATAATGAGCATCTGACCTTTTCCATAATTGTCCGATTCATTCTCTCCGCTACTCCGTTTTGCTGGGGTGTGTAGCTACATGTCCTGTGTCTGAGAATACCTTGCTGAGCACAGTGGCTCTCAAAACTCTTGTTACAGAATTCCAGGCCATTGTCGGTTCTGAGAGTTTTCACCTTTTTTCCTGTTTGTCTTTCCACAAGTGATTTCCATTCTAGAAATTTCAGGAAGACTTCGTCTTTCTTTCTGAGAAAATAAATCCAAACCCGTCTGGAATGATCGTCTACAAAACTCAAGAAGTATCTGTATCCAGACATAGAGGGTGTTGTGTTCTGTGAACCCCACAAGTCGGAGTGTACGTACTCTAACACATCTTTGGTCGTGTGTTTTCCAACCCCAAAGGATAACCTGTGTGATTTACCAAAGATGCAGTGTTCACAAACTGTCATGTCTGAGAAGTCGGGTTTCTCAATCACTCCTTTCCTTGCTAGAATTTCCATACCCCTCTGAGACATGTGCCCCAATCTCCGATGCCACAGTCTTGTTTTGTCTTGAAGTGCTTGGCTAGCCAATACCTTTCCTGTTACAGTCTTTCCATCGAGAATGTATAAGCCGTTCTGAAGTTTACCTCTGAGAACAATTCTGCAACCCTTGATCACTTTCATACAGCCTTCTTGTGACTTGTACCAACAACCTTGAGCCTCTAGTGATCCAAGTGAAATTAAATTTGTTCTCAGCATGGGAACATATCTAACTTGAGAGAGTATCACCTGAGAGCCATCATGAGTCTGTAATCTGATGTTACCAATGCCCATGATTTTGCAGGTTGAATCATTCCCCATTCTGACTAAGCCTGTCGTTGATTCATCCAAATCTGAGAACCATTCTCTTCTTGGACATAAATGGTAGGTGCAACCAGAATCTAACACCCACTCGTTCTGTTCGTCTCTCGTAGCTGTGTTCAAAGCTTCAGGTTGTTTAACGACCAAGACTTCCGAATCATATCTGATTCCTTTTGCTATATCTGCCTCATACTTCTCTGACTCATCCGTGCCCATCCCTTTCTTTCTGGCATAGCAGTCCTTTCTCAGGTGTCCTTTCTTACCACAGTGCCAGCATTCCATCTCTCGGTTTCTGGATTTCGATCGTGATCTTGATTTCTTTCCTGGCTTTCCTCTGAATTGAGTTCTACCTCGGGTATTCAATCCCTCTGTCAGACCTTTTCCAATCCTTCCCTGAGAGATCAGTTCCATTTCTTTGGAACGAGCCGCTGCTTTTACTTCTTCAGGTGTAATTGATGCACGAGAGTATTTCAGTACCTCACGTAGCTGTTCATATGGAGGAGGTAGAGCATTCAGAAGATACACCGCCTGATATTCCTCTTCAACTTTCACTTGGAGGCTTTGTAGATCAGACAAGATTTTCTGGAAGTCATCTAAGTTTTCTTCAATACTCTTTCTTTCGTCCATTTTGAAGCCCGAAATTCTCTGCATCAGGTACATACGATTTGGTAAAGACTGCTCCAGAAACATGCGCTCCAATAGTCTCCATAAAGCAAATGCAGTCTTCTCCTGGATAACCTTTCGCAGAATTTGATCTGACAGGCAGAGTACTATCAAATTTCGTACTTTCCTGCTTCTATCAGCCCGATCCTGAAACGATCTTGAACCACCAATCCTTGGCTCTTGAATCGTTTCTGAATCTGTGGTCATAGTCGAACCAGCTCCTGACACCAACGAAGATTCACCCACAATCCCAGACATTTCTGTTTTTAGTGTTGGTGTCTTCGGTTCACCTGCAATCTTTGGATCTTGAACCTGCTTCCATGTCGATGGATCATCGTCCAGCGTATCATGTAGCCCCATTATCTCTAACCCAATCTGGATCTTTTCTTTCCACAGCATGAAGTCATTCTTTCCATCAAATTTTTCTACATCGAGTCTCTGGATTGTCGCCGCCATTACTACACTCGGCGTCGTCTTCCGATTTCTGTTCTTGTTCCTGCGTTGATTCCAATCGCCTAGCCCCAAGACGACCGGGCTCTGATACCACTTGTGATTTCCGAACGCAAGCTCACTGGAATCTCCACGATCGCACCTCAGATCTTCGCTATGAACCGAACACACACACTCAATACTATCAGAGAAAGAATTAAGAAGATGACACAAGCTTTTACGAGTTCAGATCAATCAGTGTGATTGATCCTACGTCTCGGGAAGAGAGGGGAGTTCTTTATTGCTTCAAGATTACAGCATACAAAAGCTTCTGAGAAAATTGAAGAACGCACACCACATCTCGTCAGGAACTGGGTATTTATATATAGTTGGGGAAGAAGAAGCAAAACCTCTGGTTCGCTTAGAGTCTTTCGGCTTGTTCAAAGCTTCTGATATAAGTAGAAGCTTCCCCTGATATTGAACTCGAGACATATCTTCTTCAGTATTGATCAAAAGATGTGTGTACATGTACAACAAGAAGTAACCAAATCGCAGAGAATATCGGACGAATCAGTTGGGAAAGGGAACAAGATATACATAAGATATACGGTAATATACGCATGTCCGAGATTCTCGGTAACAGACGGACTTTAAAATTTCAAGTCTAAATCTATAAATTTATCGGATAGATTCGGGTCTGATAGAGTCATGATTTTGTACATTCCACATTCCACCTGAACCCAAGTTAAACCAAGTCAATTAAGTGATATAATATAAATATAGGATTATTTAATCAGTTAAAAATCGAAAATATTGCATAATACGGTCAAAAACTAAAATATTTGTTTTGAGTTGGAATTAGATTACATTGATTATTTTTACTCGTTTAAAAAACGGATGAAGTACTGTCCGAATTCAAAGGAAACGAATTAACAGTTAGGAATGGTTTTGGATCGACCAAAACCCGCGATTGGTTTTGGTTTTGGTTTTCTAAATATGTATATATATATATTAAAGGTAAAGTAGGAGAATCTCATTAATTTCGCATTATTTAGAAGATGCCCTTGCATGGCTGCCACGTGTCCATGCAAGCTCCCCTCATTGGAATGCAACGACGTATAGAAGCCAACGGTTGTGGTGATGGTGGTATATATACACATCAAAGACTTGGCCATAATACCATTCATGTATGTATGTATATGTCATTATTAAATTATACAGATTTCCATTCAATATTTTTCAAACGAACAACGATATATCGGTTATCATAGCAATCGAGTATCAGATTTTGATACCCAATTATCGATAATATAATATAATATATAGTTCCTTAATTTTCCATTGATTCCATAATCAATGCAAATTGACATTCGAAAACTCCGTCGAGGGCCATATCATGAAGCAACCACTCACTCGAATGCCATTCAAGCTTTGGTTTGTCTCGGATCCACCGTATACGATCAAATACGTATATACAAGGATATGTTGACCATTATACATGAAAATAAGTTTGACTTAACTAGAGCTTATGGGGAGGAGAGAGAGAGAGAGAGGAATACGCCATTGATTTCTGGAAATGAGGGATCGGGGCAGAACTTTTGCAACACCTGTTCGACATTCACCCTCCACCCGTCTCCTTCCTCTTGGCCTTTCCCCAACCACCTCTGGTCAAATCTATGTAACCATGGTTGAGTTAAAGCTCCACACCTGTCCTCTCTTCTCCAACAAAACAAACCCCTAGAAATCATCTTCTCGGAAGATCAGCATTGCTCTTCTTAATTAGAACCTATATTATAACCCCCATTGTTTTTGTGTTGAAACCCTAAACCGATCCTGAATGCGAGTTACACAAATGTCACTTCCTCTCATCCTTCAAAACTTGCTATAAATAGAAACCAGAAGCTTAGCTAATATATATAAGCCCTCGGAAAGAGGAAATTAGATAGTGAGAGATAGAGAGAGAAACAAAAAAGAAGAAGAAGGAAGAGAGGAAAAGCAACCTCTGTTTACTTGTGCTTAAAAACCAAATCTCTGATTGCCCAACGTCCATTTTAACCCACTGTTTCGATCTGCACACCTCTCTCTCTCTCTCTCTCTCTCTCTCTCTCTCTCTCTCTCTCTCTCTCTCTCTCTGAAACCCAAAGCCACACACACCATTTGTTCTTTTCTCTCTTCATCTTCCAGTGTTTTCACTTCTTTTCCTTTTTCTAGGCTGCGTTAGCCAATTGAGAGCCCAGAACAAGAAAAAAGGGGAAGGAAAAAGAAATGACTATGGACGTCGAGGAGGCAGCTGGGAAAACAATGGCCAAGGCCTGTGGGCCAATGGCAGGTGGTGTGGAAGGAGTCGGGTCGGGTGGGTTATCGGCGTGCGTGCGGAATCTTCAGGGAGCAGTGAACAGGAAACGTCGGATGCCGAGGCTGAGACGCTCGTCGTCTTCCTTCAGCCTCCTCTCAGCTCTCCCTCTCCCTTCGCGCGTGCGTATCCCTCCCCCTCCCCCCGCACGTGTGAGACCCCTCTCTCTATTTATTTAAATATAATTGATTCATAATGTTTATAGTTCATTAAAAACAAAAACCCTCAAATGATCTAGATGATGGATCTAGGTATATATGATTATTGAACTGAATCTATGGATCTATAAAATGGATTCATAAATTGCATATATATAACTATATGCAAGAATGAATGGAGCAGAAAATCGACCGGACAAGGCTGCGGTTTCTCTTCGAAAAGGAGCTCAAGAACAGTGACGTCAGCTCCCTCCGCAGAATGATACTCCCCAAGGTCCATTAATATATCTGTCTAATTATACATAACATATATATATATATATATATATATATAGATTGGTTAGTTGAAGTAATTAAACAAAATTGATGATGATGCAGAAAGCGGCGGAGGCTCACCTTCCGGCTCTAGAGTTCAAGGAAGGGATGTTCATAAACATGGACGACTTGGACGGTCTCCATGTCTGGTGCTTCAAGTACAGGTCCCTATATACATATGTATATATATATATATATATTGCAATTTACTGGACACATGTATATGTATACATATATATAGTACTAAAATGTTGTTTCTGGTCCTTTTTGTTTTGAGTAGGTATTGGCCAAATAACAATAGCAGGATGTATGTACTTGAAAACACCGGTAAATCGAGTTTGATTCTTTATATGTATGTATGTATATGTATATGTATATATGTGTGAGTATATATATAGAGTATTGTTCTGTCATTTGGATGATGTTGATGATTTTGTAATTTCATGGATGAGTTTGTGTCACAGGTGACTTTGTGAATGCACATGGGTTGCACCTAGGGGACTACATCATGGTCTACAAGGATAACCAAACCCACAATTATGTATGTTCCAACCTATCTCTATATATACACACATATATATATACAATGTTATTCTTTTTTTTGTGAATCTTAATTAATTGTGTCTTATGGATCAACACTAAACATCATAGAGTTCCTATGTTTGGTTTCTTATAGGAGACTTTGTACATTTTTCTTCTTTTATCAATGATGTGCAAGTTCAACCGTAAACACGTCCCTAGTTAACATCCGGTTTAGTTTTCGGTTTTGTTTTGGTTTTCTAGTATAAATACATTTGCAATTGACTAATCATTTCCAATAACGCGACCCTTTCCATCAGTTTCTTGATGGGTTTGTTCCGAGAATTTTTGTGTTTTCAGGTGATACAAGCGAGAAAGGCATCGGAAAGAGAAGAAGAGGAAGACGACGACGACGTAGACGTAGACGTATACACGGGCCTCGCAAGGATAGAGGAGAACACGGTTAATAACCACGGCCTGTGCCTCGGACAGGACTACGAAGTGGTGGTAGATGTCGGGAAGTCGAGCTGCTGCAGGAGCTACTACCCCGTCATGGACAGCGACCACAGGGACAGCGGTGCGGCCGCAATGTCGTTCGTGTACGACACGACAAAGCTGTCGAACGACAGTCCACTTGATTTCTTGGGAGGATCCATGACCAACTGCACTCACTCCAGGTTCGGTTCCTTTGAGGCCTTTGGCTCCGTTGATAACCTCTCCCTCGATGACTTCTACTAAAGAAGCTTTACATATATATATATATATATATATATATATATATATATTATATATGCATGTATGTATGTATCCATCCTCCAAGTGTTTTATATAGTATATATACGCTACAATAATGCATTTTGCGTGGGTTATAAATTTTCGTCCGACATGTATCTCTTTTTATATATATATATATGTATACATATACATGTGTGTGTACTTCGAATTATAACATTATGCTTAACATGATCTGTTTTTATATTTGTGTCCATTTATCATTACTCTTCTCAATCATTGATTGGATAATCAAATTTGGATTGTCTGCTACAAAAAAAAACGAATTACTATAAATTTTAAATTTGTGTCGTGATTTTTTTTTCGAAAGTGTAATTAATGATATCGGTTATGTTGCACTTAATTTGTAGCGATTTGGCAGTGTTTTAACGCTTTCATTACGTTATCTAATCATTGCAATATTTAGTTAGGTAATTTTTTTCCCGTGTTGCTATTGCGTTACGATATTTAATGATGCAATTTTTTTCATTACAGTAACGTTTTTTTCATTGATCGGTTTGGTTGGACTTTATTCTAAATGTCATTGTTATGATTAAGCACCTGGAAAAGATTTAAATATTTTTATAAAACAAACTTAAACGCCTATATACTCTTGTGTGTGTAAATATATATATTGTAATAAATCGGTGACTATAATAAAAAAAAAGGAGAAAATTCACGATGAGGCTTACTATTATAGTAATAAAGCGATTTTTTTTTCACGAATAAATACTATATGTTATGAAACCGAAAGAAATATTAACGATCCAAATATTAGATCGTTAACTGTAAACCGAAAATTGTATTTTAGAATAATGTCAAATGACCTATTTATATAAATCCCGAAGTTACTGTTCACGTATACGGTCGGTGTGAACAGTACCGTATATATGAACAATAAGTTGGTGTGAACAGTAACGGTGGGCTCCACCATAATGTAGAAGAATATATTTCTTATTATTCTCTCTCTTGAAAGTGTACAAACGGAGGAACTCAAATGACCTATTTATAGAAATCTCGAAGTTACTGTTCACGTATACGGTCGGTGTGAACAATACCGTATATATGAACAGTAAGTCGGTGTGAATAGTAACGGTGAGCTCCACCATAAAATATATTTTATTTATAACACTCTCCCTTGGAGCCACCGTTAGTAAAAACACAGTTGCGTGTTTCGGTGCTGTCTCGTTAAAACCCTTATCAGTAAAATCCAATGGGATAAAACCTGATAAGGGAAAAAGAGTACAGCTACACGCTCCCTCTGAACAAGACATCAAAGATCCCGTAAATGATGCATCCCAATATTATGGGAAGAGCCTTAGTGAATATATCTGCTGCATTGTCACATGATCGTATATATCTGACTTCAATCTCCTTATTCCTTTCAAGCTCCAGGGTATATGCGAAGAACTTCGGAGGATATGTTTTGTTCTATCACTTTTGATGAATCATTTCTTGGTATGTGCAACACATGCAGCATTGTCTTTAAACAATATTGTTGGTGTCGTATCGATAGGTATTCCACTAGCCTTTTGAATATGTTGAGATAATGATCTCAACCATACCGATTCTCGGCTCGCCTCATGTAGTGCGATGACCTCAGCATGATTAACTGATGTTGCAACTAGAGTCTTCTTTTGGGAACGCCAGGCTAATGCAGTTCCATTGATTGTGAAGACGTAGCCTGTTTGTGACCTGCTTTTATGTGGGTCTGATAAATAACCTATGCATCTGCAAAACCAATAATTTTTTGTTTTGTGTTTTTAGGGTAAAACAACCCAAGATCAATAGTTTCTTGAAGATAACAAAATATATGTTTAACCTCATTCCAATGTCTTCGTGTTGGGACAGAACTATATCTTCTAATAGATTGGTAGCGAATGATATATCCGGTCTATTATAATTTGCAAGATACATAAGAGCTCCTATTGCACTTAGATACGGTACTTCAGGTCCAAGTATCTCTTCATTATTTTCGCGCGGACGAAATGGATCTTTGTCAATATCCAATGTTCTATTTACCATTGGGTACTTAGTGGATTTGCCTTATCCATGTGGAATCGTTTTAGTACCAGTTTTGTATAATTTGATTGATGTAGAAACATTCCATCTTTCAAATGTTCTATTTGTAACCCAAGACAATATTTGGTTTGTCCAAGATCTTTCATTTCAAATTCCCCTTTTAAATAATTGGATGCATCCTGGATCTCATGGAGAGTATCAATGATATTTAAATCATCGACATATACAACAATAATCACAAATCCAGACATCGTTTTTTTGATAAATACACATGGTGATCATTTGTATATCCATTTTTCAATAAGTGCTCACTCAGACATTTATACCACATACGTCCTGATTGTTTTAGTCTATACAATGATCGTTGTAACTTGACAGCACATAACTCTCGTGATTTTGCTTTCATTATTTCGGACATTTTAAATCATTCAAGGACGACTTTCATATAGATACTCGTGTCAAGTGACCCATATAAATAAAGAGTGACAATGTCTATGAGACGCCTTTCTAAATTACTATTCACGTATATGGTCGGTGTGAACAATACCGTATATATGAAATATATTTTATTTATAACACTATGCTATACGGCGATAATCAATATCATGAGGACGTGGCACATAAACTGCTGGGACGGGTCATTCTAAACCGGATGAAGTCTACCGGTTTGGGTTTATCGTTGAACCGACCCGAATGCTATATAAACCGAACCGGTTTATCGCTTGACGACAAGACAGCTGTAGAGAGTTGAAGACGAACACCTTGTGTGATCCTGTTGAAGCACAGATCATTTTGAGAACGAGCAAGCGAGAGAGAGGCGGAGTATCCATGGCGTCCAGGTACTGGGTGGTCTCTCTTCCAGTGAAGGACTCTGCTTCTTCGTTGTGGAACGGTTTGCAGGGGCAGATCTCCAAGCATTCCTTCGATACTCCTGTTTATCGGGTAATTTATCTTCATGATTTGATCTCTTCGATTGAAACACGAGAGATCCGGTTCCATTTCTTGATGATTTTGTTTTATCGGAACGATTTGGTTTCAATTTTGTTGTTTGATCTCAATTTTGCAGTTTAATATTCCTAATCTTCGTGTCGGAACCTTGGATTCTCTACTCGCTCTCAGCGATGATCTTCTGAAGGTAATAAGTCAGAATTCTCTTCGTATTCGCTCTTATGTTTGACTGTCGATTGGATTTGCGTGGATCTTGAGAGATTGCGAAATGATCTGTTGAGATGTGCAGTCGAACAGCTTCGTCGAAGGGGTTTCTCACAAGATCAGGAGGCAGATCGAAGAATTGGAGAGAGCATCTGGTGTCGAGAGCAATGCCCTTACAGTTGATGGAGTTCCTGTTGACTCTTATCTCACCAGGTATAGGAATTTTCTGACGTATCTCAATGCTGTCTCGCTGTGATCATGTTTGTTCAAGAACAAATCGTTCGGCTTGTTGTTGTGAAGGTTTGTCTGGGACGAAGCTAAGTACCCAACTATGTCACCGTTGAAGGAGATTGTTGATAGTATTCAGACTCAGGTTGCGAAAATTGAGGATGATCTCAAGGTATGGAAACTGGACCCGAGTTGTTTTGAATTCATACCACTTGCTGCCTTTCTCTGATCTCCGCCCCGAGAGTGATCCAGGGTCAGTATCATAGGAGAGTCACGTGTAGAAAACTTGGCTGCTTGTTATTTAGGTAGCATAAAAAGGTGGTCTTTTTGCTACATTTCCTAGATCTGATTGCGCTGGCTGGATCAGCAGAGTCGATGGGTCTATTATGCAAAACTTGTGGAGATGTGGGGAACATGCTCTTTATTTTAATTCAATAGCAACCTTAAGTCATCTGTCACGGTGTCGAAACTGGATGGCGGTCAAATAGATCTGTAATCAACCTTTAAGAAAGAAAGAATAGCCGAATTGTCCTCTCGATACACAAGTGGACAATGGGATTTTTCCTTCACAAGTATTCTCTTATGTTATTACAGCTCTGTGCATGGCTTCTGTATGATGAATGTAGTCAGTTACACTCTGTTTAGTAATATGTCATGATTCTTTGTCACTTATAAATGTGCTATGGCAACCAAATGGGTTCTTGTGTGTGTGTGTGGAAAATGTGTCTGTTAACAACTCCCTTAATTTGCTCTTATGTCAGGTTCGTGGTGCTGAATATAACAATATCCGAGGTCAACTCAATGCCATTAACCGAAAGCAAAGTGGAAGGTAAAAGTTGGGTTATAGATCTAGAATTTTTATTCTGTTTAATAGAAAAAATAGAAATTGCAAGAAAAATCCCAACAGGCAAATTGAGATGCATTTCTTTCGATATCAACTGCTCGAACCATTCTATACCTGTGACGGTGCATAGATTTTTCCAGGAGCTTTATGCAATTACCAGAGTAGTGAACTTTCATCGTAATACGATTGGTCTCTTTAATTGTTTTAATTGCAATTTGACTGTTCTTCATCCCTTTTGTTTCAGCCTAGCTGTTCGTGACCTCTCAAGCTTGGTGAAGCCAGAAGATATTATCGCATCAGAGCATCTAGTGACTCTCCTTGCAGTTGTTCCGAAGTATTCTCAAAAGGACTGGTTGTCGAGCTATGAGACATTGACTAACTATGTGGTAATATATTGTTCGTTTGTGTTAACTGAATACATAGAGGGTAACACTCTCAGTTAACTTGAGAATCATTAGAAATAATGTGGTCCAAACTGTTTAGGTGCCTAGGTCCTCAAAGAAGTTGTTTGAGGATAACGAATATGCCCTCTATACCGTCACCCTCTTCAATCGTGTTGCGGACAATTTCAGGACAAGTGCCCGTGAAAAAGGTTTCCAGGTGAGTTTTTTTTTTTTATTGAAGTTCAACGTTTTATTTTTCTAGATAGCAGATTTCAATAGCATTAGTGTAATGCATCTATAAATATAGTATATCTTGAACATGCTTAGTTTTGCTAGTGATTGAAAATCTACCAATTCACTGCAAATTTCAAGCCTTGAATAGAATCTCGGAACAATTGCAAATATGAGACTGTCTACCTCTCTTTCAGATCCGTGATTTTGAGTACAGCCCTGAAGCGCAAGAGAGTCGGAAACAAGAGCTAGAAAAGTTGGTTCAGGATCAGGAAAGCCTGAGAAGCTCTCTTTTGCAATGGTGCTACACTAGTTATGGAGAGGTATATGCTTGATTTTCTTTAACTCTGGTCAGTGCGGTAATGTATATTATATATATATATATATATAAATATTTGGCCCTACAGAAAATGATGCTTTGATAAATGGGTCACTTTGTGTAGGTTTTCAGCTCATGGATGCATTTCTGTGCTGTGCGTATATTTGCTGAGAGCATTATGAGATACGGGCTGCCACCATCTTTCTTGGTAATAAAATTAAGGCCTCCAAAATGCAAACTTTCACGGATAGAGCACTCAGCCTCAGGAAGGTGCACATTAGCTCACTCTATTGAGCTTTTTCTAATGTATTTTTTGTCTGTTACAGTCATGCGTCTTAGCTCCGACGGGGAAGGGGGAGAAGAAGGTGCGCTCAATTCTTGAGGGCTTGTGTGATGCTGCAAACAGGTAACATAAAAATTTGGCATTTTGGTTGGTTTAGACAAAGGGCTATGGTTATGTGTTGTTTGGTTCTGGTGGGTCCAAATGTTAACCAAATTGGTCGTCCCAAGTTTAGACGAAAGAGTCCTATTATTACAAGGTTCGACTGTTAATAGATCCCACGTGAACATATAATTGTGGGAGAAAGTATTTTTGGGCTTCTTGATGGTGACTTTATAAACTTATGTATGTATGTATGTATGTATATGATGCAGCACATACTGGAAAATGGAGGAGGAAGGAGGAGGAGGAGGAATGGCTGGGTTAGGAGGCGATGCAGAGGGTCATCCCTATGTATCCTTCACCATCAATCTTGCCTAAACTACTATTACCTTGGCTCCATGGGCCTTTGGTCTGCCTTTTGTTGTGTTTCGTGTATTGTTTTTTTTTTTTTGGGGCATTTTCCCCAAATATAATTATTCTTCATTCCGAATCCAATAAGAGAGGGAAAAAAAAAAAGGAAATGTGGTCTTGAGAGAGAGGAGGGGCAGATGCTGCTGCTGGAATCGAATCGTGCAGTGTTGGGGGCGACGGCCATTTGCTATTTTGAAGTGGTTGATCTTTGCCCTTAGCCGTTTCTGTGTGTGTATGTTTTTGTTCTATTATCGGACATTCAATCCGAATTTGGGATCTGTATTCAGGTGGGAGATGAATGTGAATGTGTATCCTGTGGTTATTTGAATATTTAAAATTTGAATCTAGGATCGGTCCACCGAGGAATATGGGTGTGATTTGGGCCTACAGTATACTATACTGTGCACCGAAGAAGATAGATCATAATCAAATATTATGGGAAGGAAATACAGATTCTTATCATTCAAAAGTTAAACTAGATTACGACATCTTGGACCACACAATCTAAACTTAAGGAGAAGGGAGGTTAAGGTGCTTGAAACAAGTGAGGCCACCATCGACGACAAGGTTATGTCCGGTCACAAACTTGGAATCATCAGACGCCAGATACGAAGCAGCCTTGGCCACGTCCCTCTCCTCGCACCTCTCTCCCTTCAACTCGCTCGTCCCCTTCACTATCTCCGCCAGCTGTTCCTCTTCCCCGCCTGTCCTAACCCCTGCCGCCTCAAACGCCTGCCTCAGCGTCCGTACGGTCAGCGGGGTCAGGACAACCGCCGGAGATATGCAGTTTGTCCTTACCCCGTGCTTGCACAGCTCGCTGGCCGCCGACCTGACGATGCCCGGGATCGCGGATTTGGAGATGGTGTAGGAGTGCGGCCCTAGACCGCCCATTAGGCCGCTGATGCTGGAGATGCATAGGATGGAGCCTGACCCGGCCGGGATCATGGCCTTGGCCGCGTGCTTTATCCCTAAGACGGTCCCTCTCACGTTCAGTCTCATCACTCTGTCGAACTCTTCCATGTCCAGATCTGCTATGCTTGGCGGTGATATCGCACCTGCATGTGCATGCTCATATATATATATATGTATATGTCAAGAATCGTACATGGGTTTTTGTATTTATGACATCAAAGTATTTATAGATATATATAGCCTTTGTTTCTGAATGGAGCACTAATAATAAGATTACAAAATTTGATTCAATGTGCATCTTTGTGATGGGATCAAACTATATATTTTCGGAAATTTTCATGCGAGAATGAATACATTAATTTCCGAAGAAAAAAGTGATGGAAAACTCTAGTATACATACCTTCTACTTTTTATTAATTTCACAAACCAAGATTTATTTAAACAAATTACCACTAGCCTTTGTCACGCATTTCAATTAGGTGTGTGAATATATACTTAGATCTTGGTGTGTGTATATATGTATGTATGTATGTATGTATGTATATGTGCTTACAAGCTGATCCTGCGCTGTTGAGAAAAACGTCGAGTTTCCCATGGCGTTTCAGGGCGGACTCCACGGCCTTAGCGACTTGGTCCTCCACCGTGACATCGCAGCTGATGAAATCGGCCGAGGAGCCGAGCTCGGCCGCAGCTCTGGGACCGAGCTCCTCGTCTATGTCGGCTATGACGACTTCTGCGCCTTGCCGGATGAACTCTCCGGCCGTGGCCTTCCCCAAGCCACTTGCCCCTCCTGTTATCACCGCCACTTTGCCTTGCAGCTTCCTATACATCATATCTTAACCCTTTATGAAAGATATATATATATATATATATATATGCGTGATTATTTTTTTTACTATTAGACATTATAACAGAAGAGATGAAACCTGATTAATATTGGGTTATTATAGCTAAAAGTGTGTAAAACCAACCTTTCAAAAGTTGAATAGAGGAGGATGGATGATGACCTTGGCACCAACCCATTTTTGGCTGCAATGAATTTGAAGCCTCTGCAGAGAAATTCACAAGGACAAATATCAAATATTTTCTCCTTGTGTATTTTTTTTCCTCAAATAATTGAAATGGTAATTAATATATTAATGGGTATTTATAAAATCGGTCGAAACCGATTGTATAAACTATACTTTTGTAGCAAAGTGAATCAAATGAGAGATTATACAAATGAGAGAGAGAGAGTGAAGACCAAGAGAGGTAGAGAATGTGTGTGTGATTACCTTGATGACAATAATCCCATCATCTTTTTTGTTCTCTCTCTTGAGAATAAAAGTATACGTTGGATGATCTTATTGAGCTTCACAAACACAAAGAGTTGAAGATTTATATATATATATATATATATATGCAAAGTCCATTTTAAAATATGTAAATGCTACTTTACAATGCGATATAATATATATAAAAAAAATGTTACAAACAAATTTTGATTTGGGTGTGAAAGAGAATTTTACAATAAATAAAAAAAGAGAATCTTTGGATAAGACAAAGGGATTCGCACACGCAGAGAGAGTGGTTGACCCAAAAACCTAAAAAATAAAAAGATGGAAACTTTAAAAAAGAAAGAAGGAAAGAAAAGAAACTGCCATCGCCACTACTGATGGTAGGGTTTTTCTCCATTATGTGCATTATTCAAAGCTGTGAAGGTGCGTGGATTTCAGGGGACAGGAAAGGGGAAAACGACACCGTTTTCAAGGCCCCTTTAAAAGCTAAATGGAGATTAAGACAGGTAATTAGTGAGCAATTATTGGGTAATTAATCCCAGAAAAGGCAAAGCAAAACCCACGTTAGTTGTCATCTTATCCGTATATGGGGACATGCTTTAGACAAAGCAGAGCTGCACGTTTTGTATTGTCTCTCATTACAGCGACATCAGTATCCGCCTGTAGATTTATTACAAGCTTTATTAGGTTAGGGGGGGGGGGGGTGGTGTCACGTGCGTGCACGTGCGATTTGTTCAAAGTTGGGCTGTATTTGGTCCGTACAAGAAGGCCCAACAGAGAATCCAGATTTAGATCCATTGGGCCTATGCCCATCTTGAAAAAAATCTCTTTTTTTTTTTTTACAAACTCAAAAAAAACTTTCAACTGCCTCAATTATATCAACTATATAAATTGATTAAAACCAATCTTTCACTTTAAATATGTTATAAAAAATCAACAACCATTAATTTTAATAAAAAAAATCATTATCTATCTAAATCACTCAAAACATATTAAACTTTACATTTATTATAAAAATCCATAAAATTTGAATAGTACATACATAAATTATACAATTTTAAAAATCACAAAAAATATAATATTTATTTAAATTTATAATATTTAAAATTTATATAAATATTATAAACATCAATCTTTATATAATAAATTTGTATATAAAGATTATATTTAAAATTGAGTCTATTATTTTATTAGTTGTAAATATTATATTTAAAATTTTATCATATATTAATATTTGAGAGGTTGCAAATTGTGTATATTTTATTGGTTGTAAATATAAGAGATAATATATATATATATTTTAAAAAAAATAAAATATAGTAATTTTTATATATAATAGGGAAAAAATCTCAAAATTCATGAACTTGTAACTTGGGTAATATAAATTTCTAAACTTGCAGAGGTGTCTATTAATTCCCAAACTTGTAAAATTGAACATGATAATTACTGAACTTGTTAAACGGTTCCATAAGTGTCCTCAACGTTAATTGGACAAAAAAACGCATTGATCTATCCCATGTGACACATGACGTGTCAAACCAACTCAGAAAATTTGTGCCACATGTGCAATTTCTGGTTTTTCGAGAAACTGGATTTAATCGACCAGATTGAATAGTAAACCAGGTTTACTAGAATCGATTTAAACCGGATTTACTGGAACCCAATCAGAGCCAACTCCTCTTCCAGATTGTCGTTCTAGACCTCCGCTTCCCAATCTCTATGCCGACTAGCCGCCTTCGGTCGCCGGCGCTGTGTCAGCTGTCTATCTCTCGGCTTGTGGAGGTCCGGTCACACCTACGGAACCCTATCATTTCTCTCGACGATCACTGGGGCCAATAGGCTGCGCTCTTCGTCGTCGGTGCTTTCGGTGTCTGGTATTCCGACGATCTCCCTTCTTGCTCGATTTCCAGAGGTGGCGATTTTCTTTTCTGGGTCTGATTTCGGGGAGATTCACCGTTTTAAAGGTCGGAGAAGACGAAGTAAGAAGCATTGTGAGTGGAGCGTTGGTAGGTCTCACAGCGAGCAATTTGTGCTAATCCAGTTACCAGTTTATCATCTGTGGATTTAATATTCTAATCATTGATGTATATCCCCCGTTTGGGTTTCCACAGACAAAACATGAGCTCTTTCTTACCGTCTTCGATGGGTGACGCCATGATCGGAGTTCGAAGCTAGGTGAGATGAGCTTGTGGTCTGATAATTGGAGAGAGAGACCAAAAAAGAAAGAAATGGGAAAGTGAAGAGAAAGTAGCGAAAGGGAAGTCAACTGGAGGGAAGACCCACGTGAACACAGGAAACAAAAAAAAAGTAATTATTTTTAAAGAATGTTTTCAAAAAGGTCCTTTATTTTAATTTATTTATTGGATCTATGAAATCTGGTTTACTGTTCAATCCAGTCCATTAAACAGGGGGATTTACAAAAATGACTTTAAATGTCATTTTTACTTCACGTGATAACCCTCACTTTGGAAAAAAAAAAGACAACATCATGTGATAACCTTGTAATAATATACTTCCAAAAATACCCTTCATTTTTTATTTATTATTAAATTTTAAAAAATAAATTTCAACTCTCTCTCCTCTTCCTCCTCTCTCTCTCCTCGTCCGCTTTCTCTTCTCTCTCGTTCAGTAGTCTTCACACTCTCTTCATCTCTACTCTTTTTTTAGCTAATTTGTTGCGAAAAAACAACATTAAGCTTGGGCATTTAATCGATTCAACATAAATCTGAATAAAAGGTAAGTATTGTTTCTAAATTTTGTTATTAAGTTTGGACATTTGTGATTTATTATTTTATCATTTTTATATTTAATCCATATGAATATGTTTGAAATAAAAATGACATATATATCAGCAATACCATGATTCACGTTATTCAAACTGGTTGAAATCATTATATTTGTGAAATTCGTTAAAATGGGAGAATTCAGAAAACTGGTAACATATACATGTCGAAATGGTGAGACTGGTCATACTCCTAACTGGTCATACTTGTCAAAATTGGTCAAACTGGTCATATTCGTGAAATTGGTCAAAATGGTCATACTCATCAAACCTGTGACATTTTTCAAGTGTATCATTTTATCACATTTTGTGTTATTTTATACAGGTATAATGGATGCAACTAATGAGAGGATGATGATTATTTATTATAAATCTGATGGCAAGTGGGTAGTAAAATCGATCGGAGCATATGAATGGGAAGGAAAGAAGAATACATGTTCGATAGGTTCAGCCAACATATCATTGTCATAAGATCATGCGGGTGGAATGTATTTCGATTTGTATTTGCAAACACTACTACTAGTTTAGGTCTTCTTTGGAAAGAGTTACTTTGACATCAAAAAAAGATGTTCAGTTCATATTGCTACTACCGATTTCAACTAGAGAAATCGATCATACGAGATGATTATTACGATGTTAACACTTTCAAATCGAT